GCGGAACAATGGCTTCAAACTACAAGAAAGGAGATTCCATCTGAACATGAGGAAGAACTTCCTGACTGTGAGAGCCGTTCAGCAGTGGAACTCTCTGCCCGGAGTGTGGTGGAGGCTCCTTCTTTGGAAGCTTTTAAACAGAGGCTGGATGGCCATCTGTCAGGGGTGATTTGAATGCAATATTCCTGCTTCTTGGCAGGGGGTTGGACTGGATGGCCCATGAGGTCTCTTCCAACTCTTTGATTCTATGATTCTATAAGAATTTTATTTTTGTGAACTTGCAAAGATTTGCAAACAAATGAAGAAATGACATGGAATGAACATGTATATGAAATCAACACAAACCATTGCTCCATCCCTGTGAGGAGTTCAAAATCAAATTGGTTTTGACTTATGGTTACCCTTCAAAGATAGATCTCCAAGAGCCCTAGTCATCAGCAACTATGCTCAAGGGACATGAGTCATGCATGCATCAATTCATCAGTCTTCATCTGTCCTGTGTATCTGTATTTACTTTCAAGTCACCTGTCAAGTTATGTGATCCCATGAATTTCATAGCGTTTTCTTAGGCAAGAAATATTAAGGGGTGGCTTTCTGCCAATTACTTCCTGTGAAATGTATCTTACAGCACCTGGATTTTCTTGAAAGTCTCCTGTCCAAGTACTAACTAGGACTGATCCTGCTTAGCTTCTAAGATCAGATGGAATCTGGTTCCTTTAGAATATTTAGCTGCAGCATATCCCTTTCAGCCTTGCTCTCTGAATGCCTTGCTCCCCTCTGAGCGGCAGAGCTTTGGGTCTTAAAGACTGCTTTTCCTGGATAAAATGGATTGGGCTAAGGGGCTGCACAAAGTTACGTAATGACCTTTACGAGGGGAGAAGCACTTTGGCAGTGGCTTAGGATGTTTTGCCAACATGCCCATTTGCTTTTTAAACTGGAATTTCTTTTTTATATGATCAGGACATTTTGTGTTAAATATACAGTTATTATTTTCACATCTCCTCTGGGCCTCAGTTCAATAACATGGAAGTTTAAATATTCATTGACCTCCAGACAAAGTCTTTCAGAAACTGAAAAGTTAGATTAGCTCACTCTCTGAGCCTTACTCTTTGAAGTATTTTCTTAGGATTTTATAACCTGTCTAGGCCATCCTTTATACTGTGTAAGTTTGTATATACCTGTCTACTCACATTTATATCCCAGCTGTGTTTTTCCTCATACAATGATGCTGTTACATCATCATGTAACATTGCTCTCGGCAGCATGTCTAAAAGCCAAAGCTAACCATTAGGAATCCTGTAGAACTGTAAGCCCACTAAGTAATAATAATAGTAATAATAATAATAATAATAATAATAATAATAATAATAATAATTCTGCAGAGCAGAAGAGAAAACTGACAAAAGAAGGCTCTCCAAGGATAGTTCCTGGAAAAAGTTAACAAAGCCATATGAGGATGAAGACACTGCCTTTCTGTAACCTAATAGCAGTTTCTTCCCCCACCAGTAACCTTCCACATATATTAGATGACATCCAAGCAATGGACAGAGCACATACAGATGTAGCAGAACTGAAGCCTGCCAGTTCCTCCTGTGTTCATGACACATTCAACCAACATAGCTCATAAGAAATCTCTGTGTCAGTTGTTGCTTTTGGGTGTTAGCAAGAGAGGTGTTCAAAAATGTTTACCCAGTATAAGCAATAGTGAAAAAAAAAAAAACCTAATGCTGATTAGAAAATGGACTGACAATTAAATGTCAGCATTGTGTTGCTCTTACAGGAATCAATGGGGCAACTATAGTTGGAAAACCATGTACTCTTCTGGTTGTTACACCATCAAAATAGCACTGTAAATTAGGGAGATATGCAACCCGCACTCACCAAATAAGGTTTTGAACTGAAGAAAAATGTAAAACTAGTAAAATTTAGAGGGATAATAATAATATAATATAATAACAATAAAGAAAAAATTGGAGTGTATTCTAAGTACACTGCACAAGCAAGGTGGAGGTTTGCCCAGGGAGTGGCCGTAAATGTTAAAGAGATGGGGGGAAAGGAGAAGGACTTCGGCCCTTTCACATGTTGAAACACAACTCCCATCAGTCCTAGCTAGTACAGTCAGTGGTGAGGAATGCTGGGAGTTGCATTTCAACAACACCTGAGGCACAACATATATTCCATTCCTGATGCAATATACAGTAGACTTCTTGTCCTCAAATTAATTGTCACAATGTCAGGAAGGATATCTCTTTTCATGTCAGCTATAGTACTGCAAATTCTTCCCAGTAGTGATACATTGCAGTAAATTTCTTGTTAAAACTGCATAAAATATTATTGTAATATTAAAATCTTTGTAATTGTCTAATACTCAACTGAATGAAGGCTTAAAGTTGGCTTACTGAAGCAGTAATTTTTCAGACTGATATTTGATAGAAAACATGGGCAACAGATATAAAATTTGTACCCAACCCAATTGCCATTCAACATTTTAAAAGTCCAATTGTTTTCAATGTGAGGAAGAAAGGATCTTTTCAACAATCTCCCATTGAACCCAAAAGTGAGTTCAATGGGGTCATCATTCACTATGTCACAGTATGGTATATCAATAATTTTAGTTCCTTTTTTTCTGTCAGAAAGAAGAAGCCACATTGCCCAACTGTCTTTCTTTAAGCACCTGCAATGTAGGTCAAAGTGGATAACTTTATTTTGCAAGTACAAAGAAAGATGGGGAAGAACCCAGGCAAAAGCAAGCACAAAAGTAAAGATTAAAGATACCTTTCTTAAAGAAAAAAGTGGCCACAGAACGTTGCCTTAAAAGAAAAAATCCAGTGTGATAATTAACTCCTACATACATTTCCAAGGTTACTTCAATTGTCTGCAAGAATTCTTTTCATTACAGTTCCCAGAAAAAGAATATGTGGGAGAATACTTGCTATTTTAATAATTAGTGAGGTTTCAAATTACAAAAAGGAAAGGACATTTTTAATTTCAGGGTGTCAAGTGATTGGATTTGTTATGACATGACTTTACTTATAAAAGCTGTTCTCTGACTGAAAAACTTTCAAATGCTGATTGAAAAGTATGTTCTGTTAGTATTTTCTAAGTATGGAAAGTAGTTCAGATCTTGCTCATTGTTAGACTCCCTGACTTCATAGACATGTTATACTATGTCTTAGAATTAATGAGAACACACCCACCTTCTCCTTAGACTCATATGTTCTCATCTTCTTTTCTCTTCCATAGCTGTGAAAAGGCTATTGGATAGTTCTGCTTCTATTTTAGATGAATCATCCTTTAACCAAAATGTTGGTTAGTCTTAAATATATGCTGAAAAAAATCCAGCTTCCAAACTATAGGGCCCATATTCATGGACATTTAACTCCTGAAGGGGTTGGGGCAAATCAGCTCTATGGTGGCTACACAATACTCCCAGCTGATTAACCCAGGCCAAGGCTGCTTAATATGGTCCTGAATTGTGCTAACAAAAGTCAAGGTTTGATCCAGAGTTTTCCCAAGAATCTGGGGCAAATGATGACTTCAAATCCATGTAAACAATTGGTTCTGAGATGGAACTGGTTGCAACTGTATACAGGGACATGTTGTGTTTCCATGCTCAGATGGCACTTATCACACTCCTTCTCTTCTCATTTTGGCAGATACCACCAGGCACAAAATGGTTGGTGTCTGTTGCTCATTGCCTGGAGTGATGTTAATTGTGGCACAGGGGCAATTGGAGGAGGAAGTGGAGAAAGAGGGGGTGATTTGTTCTTTCTGCCCCTCCTCTCTGACAGCCTGACAGACATCATTTTAGATGATGCAATGGTTCACAACCATTTCATTCCCTGGGGTTGGTGGTACTATGGACTTTATGACACTTAGACTGTTCAATTCACAGTAATCACCAAATTAAGCAACATGAAATAAGTTTCGCACAGTCTTTCAGTGATGTCGTTGTATGTTCATGAATCAGCCTCCCACAATAAGCCCAACAAATAGGTAAATTGTGAAACTTAGACTGTTCAATTCACAGTAATCACAAAATTAAGCAACATGAAATAAGTTCCGCACAGTCTTTCAGTGATGTTGTTGTATGTTCATGAATCAGCCTCCCACGACCGGTTTCGGCCTTTGCTTTAGGCCTTCTTCGGGTGGTCTGTAATTTTACATACATAAATACATTTTACAATTGTATAGGTTGAACATCATGTAATCGAATGCATCTAGAAATACTCACAAAGTTCAGTCTTTTACATATGTTCTCATAGGAGATACTTAAATTTTTGCAATGGGATCTAGGTAAAAGGAACAAATTGTGGCTATTAACATTTAAAAGTTATATATACCAAAATAAATGTTATACCAATATATTTCACCAAATAGGTGTATACTCACAAGGTACTCTGCTGCTAAGTTTGGTTCTAATTGCGAGTATGAATGGGATCTGGGAGTTTCCTCTATTTAAAGAGGAAAATGCACATCAGATGTAGAGGAGACAGAGAAGTTAATTTAAGGCTCATTTAAAGTTATAGGTGTGGAAAATGTCACCACTAGATGGCGTTGTGAGTGATGTACTCCCCAGGGATGTATAGTATACAAGGGATAATTTACAAACCTCAAGGTTATATATAGCAACTGTATGAGTTGTATTCGTTAAGACCATATGGGTGTTCAGATCTTCAGATTACGGACAGAACACCCATATGGTCTTAACGAATACAACTCATACAGTTGCTATATATAAACGTAGAGAAATTAGGCTGGACTTGCATGCAACAACACTGGCGGAATACATTAGAGCCAATAGAATACCCAGGGGACTACGCATTTTCAAACCCCCAGGGATGTTTCAAGATGATGAGTCTTTTCATCAAAAATGGGTGGCAATTCTCAACAAATGTTCACAGGACTTGATGCTCCTACTAATTGCACGTTCGAACGAGGAAATTGCCATCGTAAAAACTCAGTCTCAAGGCATGCTAGAGAAATTTAACTCTGATGCGCAATTTAAAATTGATTTGGACACCCTCACAAATAAACTCAAGGAATTTTCCACACAACTTAGATCTTTTAAACTGAAAAAGTTTGAAAGGGACGAAAATGATTACAAGAATAACAAAGTTTACCAGTGGCTATACTCCAAACACTACCACTCTAGAAAACAAGTAAGGTTTAATGAATTCACTTCTGAAGAAGACACAGGGTCTATGTCGGATAGTTCAGGACATAGTATGGCCTCATACAGGAGGGACAACAGCCACATACCTAGACGTACGGGTCGTATCAGAAACAAACCTAATCGTTTTTTTCAAGAGGCTCCAAATGTGAAACGGAAAACTTAATAGTAAATCTATCCAACAGAGTTTTAACCCCTCAGGAAAAGCACGTTATTAATAAAGGGCTAACATTTGTTCCCAAACCCAAATATAATCCATTTAAGATGCGTATAGAATTAGCTAGGCTATTCCGTACCATCAGATTAAGACAGCATTTTGGGACCACGAAAAACATCACTACTTCTACCTTCAAACCTCGTAGTAACTTTTTTCCTAGCACAGACCATATAGGACTTAGGGTTTTTGAAAAAACAGTATGTGAGGAACTATGTCACACATTCACAAAAAACAAAGGGACACACAGTACAAACTTTTCTAACAGTGAGTGGAACACGCTTCGTAGTTTAGCCAATGACAAAAACCTCATTTGGAAGCCGGCTGACAAGGGTGGAGCCATAGTGTTAATGAACCATACTGATTATATGAATGAGATCCACAGACAATTATCAATAAGAGAACACTATCTTAGTATAGAACGGGATCCCACACATCACATCCAATCTATTATAAAAACAGTGACAATGGAAGGACTGTCACTTGGATATATATCAGAGGATGTATATAAGTATCTACACACTCCATGGCCCAGAACCCCTGTCCTGTATATTCTGCCAAAAATACATAAGAACATCAGGCCAGTTCCGGGCCGTCCTATCATATCAGGATCAGGCTCCATTCTAGAACCACTAGCAAAATTTGTGGACCACCATTTACAACCCTTTGTAAAACAGACTTCATCTTATGTTAGGGACACTAAACATTTTATTAATATCATTGAACCCTTGGTGATTCCAACAGATGCTGTTCTGATGTCTATAGATGTAACTTCACTGTACACTAGCATTCCAATAGAAGAGGCACGCACTATATGTGAGTCTACTCTGAACAGGAGATCAAACTGTCACCCTCCCACTTTCTTTTTGTTGGACCTCCTTGATATCATTCTCGAAAAAAATTTCTTTAAATTCGACCAAAAATATTATTTTCAAATACAAGGAGTGGCCATGGGCAGCCCTGTTGCACCTTCAATAGCAAATTTATTTATGGATAATTTGGAAAACAATATAATTTTGAATCGTGCATATAACCCTGTAGCGGGTAGCATAATCAAATATTGCAGATTTATTGATGACATTTTCATCATTATAAACTCACATCATGAGGCAGAAACATTATTATCCTGGATCAATACAGTACACCACAATATCAAATTTACAGGGAACATCAGTGCCACATCCTTGGTTTTCCTGGATGTTATGATTATAAAAGAAAACGACCGATTGAGGGTGAGAAACCACCGTAAAACCACGGACAGAAACTCCCTGTTACACTACAATAGCTACCATCATTGGGCATTAAAAAATAATCTACCGTTCTCACAGATGCTCAGGATTAAACGTAATTCCTCGACCCAACAGGATTTCACTCACGAGATTGAGGTAACGAAACGACAGTTTAGAAACCGGGGATATCCTGAACATATAATACAATCATCTTATCTAAAAGTAGCCAACATTCCCAGGTCTAAATTACTAGAGAACAAGACTAGACCTAGAGTAGAAAGATTAATATGGCCACTTACTCTCACTAACATGTCCAATTTAGCCATCAGAACAATTAAAAAATACTGGAACTTAATAAGGGACATCCCGGGCTGTGAAAGACCCCCACTAATAGCATATAAAAGAACCAAGAGCATTGGGGATTTTTTGGTACATTCAGATTTAACACATAATGTTCGGACCATGAAATCAAATCTAATTGGCAATTATCGGTGCCATCATTGCTCAGTGTGTAACCAATTGGTGGAGACTAAAATCTTTACACACCAACACCCACCATTTACAATTAAATTCTCCCATTTTGCCACATGCATAACCAAGGGGGTTATTTACGGGATTATTTGTGAATGCAAACTGATGTACGTGGGCCAAACTCGTCGAGAAGTGAAGTCTAGGATTATAGAACACCGGAGCAAAATTAGAACTAATTCCAGAGATTCCATACTGTATAAACATTTTGATGATCTACGGCACAACCCTGAATCTTTTAAATACCACATATTAGAAGTAGTCACACAATCCAAACACATGGACTTTAACACTAAACTCCTACAAAGGGAAACATATTGGATCTTCAGATTACGGACGGAACACCCATATGGTCTCAATGAACATAATTCATACAGTTGCTATATATAACTTTGAGGTTTTTTGCATTATCCCTTGTATACTACACATCCCTGGGAAGTACATTACTCACAACGCCATCTAGTGTTGACATTTTCCACACCTGTAACTTTAAATGAACCTTAAATCAACTTCTCTGCCTCCTCTACATCTGATGTTCATTTTCCTCTTTAAATAGAGGAAACCCCCAGAGCCTGTCCATACTCGCAATTAGAATCAAACTCAGAAGCAGAGTATCTTGTGAGTATACACCTAATTGGTGAAATATATTGGGAAAACATTTATTTAGATATATGTATATTTTTTTAAATGTTAATAGCCACAATTTGTTCCTTTTACCTAGATCCCATTGCATAAAACTTAAGTATCTCTTATGAGAACATATGTAAAAGACTGAACTTTGTGAGTATTTCTAAATGCATTCTATCATATTATGTTCAATTGTAAAATGTATTGATGTATGTAATATTGGTGAAATATATTGGGAAAATATTTATTTTGATATATGTAATTTTCAAATGTTAATAGCCACAATTTGTTCCTTTCACCTAGATCCCATTACAAAAAACTTAAGTATCTCTTATGAGAACATATGTAAAAGACTGAACTTTGTAAGTATTACTAAATGCATTC